ATTGACTTAAAATCGCCACAGGGAATGCATGACCCACTCAGGTTGGACAAGTTTCATGAAACAGACGTCAATTAGATCAAGACAGTCTGAGCTGAAATTAACATTTTATCCTAGGGCAATGAAACCAGTCAGACATTCCCACAGGAGGTGTGATAAAGTCCTCATTTCTTATTTTGTTTACAGTATTGTGAGAAACTTCACATTTTGGCAATAAAAACCTTCTGCAATTATCAAGTCTGAAAACATAACTTCAACAGACACATCATATACAAACCATACAAACAATCTGCTATTTCAAAAACAGTTTTGCCATATAGAGAAGATGGAATTAAGGATGCAGAACTGAATAGAGTCCAGAGTGTCTTTCTCTTTCTCTCTTGAGAAGAAACAAAGTGCATGGTTCTACAGAACTAAATGGAAAGAAGCATCAGAGAACAGAGAATTTAAAGGATAACTGCGATATTTGCCACTTATGACGTTCTAAGAGACCAACTAACCACAGTTGATCACAGGTTAAAATTTTACACATCCAGAACACCACAATAACTCTGAACTGTACATTCCTTTTTATCTTCCTTGTACCTGCATGTGTAAATGAAATCCATAGGGCTGTTCTCTCATTAAAGAGAGACGATTGGTGGTGGTTTGACCTGAGGGTCACCATGTATCAGGTGACGGGAGAGGTTAAGAATGTTGACCTCAGCCAGTGCAGAAATTGAACCCGTGCTGTTGGCTTCACTCTGCATTGCAAACCAGCTGCACAGCCAACTGAGCTATGCATATGAGGGACAACAAGGTGCAGGGCTGGATGAACACAGCAGGCCAAGCAGCATCATAGGAGCAGAGAGGCTGACGTTTCGGGCCTAGACCCTTCATCAGAAAAGGGGGAGGGGAAGGGAGTTTTGAAATAAATAGGGAGAGAGTGGGAGGCGGATAGAGGAGAGGATAGGTGGAGAGGAAACAAACAGGTCGAAGAGGCGGGGATGGAGCCAGTAAAGGTGAGTGTAGGTAGGGAGTTAGGAAGGGGATAGGTCAGTTTTTCCAGGGAGGACGGACAGGTGGCTTGGGTGACTGCATGAACACCATATGCTCAATGTTGTTTTTTTTAAATCATTTTATTTACTATTTTTCTCAGGGTTAGCGGGTAATAAATTTGTTCTTTCTTTAACTCAAGCAAATCTTGTGATTGGTCTCTTACCACTTAGAGTTAGAATTAGTTAACTATAGTTTAATTGGAAAAAGGTACAGTCTTGTGCTAAAAAGAATCAAAACCATTGGAGCAACCATTTGAGGAGGTTGTAAAGACAGGAGGCAGTACCCCTTTGTCATCTGATTGTAACACATGGCATAGCAGGAAGCTACATTCAGAGGCTATAAAAACATTTTTGGGGCCATTTTAATCTGACCCATCAGTGGAAATGAGGCAAACTAGCAGTTCAAGTTTCTGCTATTTTCTATTTTAACTTCCTTGCCACCTTGCTCTGAAGAGAATTTGAAGCAAATGGAGTCCTTTCTTAAATACAGAATATGTCTAATGATGTCATCAGGGCCCGACTACAATTTTAACCAGAGACAGTAGGAACTGCAGACGCTGGAGGCTTCGCAGTTGGGGTTAAAATTGTTTCAGAGATAGTAGGAACTGCAGATGCTTTTCTGAAGAAGGGTCTAGGCCCGAAACGTCAGCCATCCTGCTCCTCTGATGCTGCTTGGCCTGCTGTGTTCATCCAGCTCTACACCTTGTTATCTACAATTTTAACCAGCAGTTAAAAACTGATGTGGTATGATAGAAGGAATCGTGTCAGAATTTAGGTTTTACGTTATTTACTTCCCTTTTGGGACAAGGGAAAAGAAGAGTGCAGCTCTAGTCCCTGCTAGGACCAAAACAAAACTTTCAATCCCCCTTCCCAATATCTTCCCCTTCCTGAAGACAGGGCCTTCCTAAAACTCCTTCCGTGACTCCAGCAATCCTTCCTTTGGCTGTTGAACTCTGCTTCCTGAATTTGTTTACTGAAGCTCACAGAAGAAAATGAAACCTAAATCAGCACACTGAACCTTCCACTGTGTAAGAATTGAAACTCAAAATGAGAACTCAAGGCAACTTTTGAGTTTTCTTATTTCAGCCTTAACTGAATCACTGAAAAATGCGTGATTATTTATTTGATGTCACAAACTGTCCAACTTAGCTGAAAACAAAGTGGAGCACAAAGCTAGGGGCTGAGCTGCCGAAGGACTGCCTTTTTGGTTAACACATTTGGCTGGAGTTTGGGAGCTACTTTACTGACCTGACTTACAATTCTCTTCACAGTTAAGCAAGTTTAAACATCTTCAGTAGCTGTAAATGTCATAGCAAAGAGCAAATGCTTAACATTGTGATGAGATCGAATTTTTTTCAGAGATGCATAAAGCCTGATGACCTTATGAACCAACATCTCAGATATAATCTGCCATCAGAGGGC